TTCGTTGCACGTGCACTGGCTCTTGCAAGCCAACGCCCTTACGATTTCTTTTTTTCTTGCCTCTTTGGGTGGTTAGAGACGGGCTTGAATCCTCTGCCGTGGTTTTTATAAGTGCGCATTGATTTTTGCCGCACTTACAGATGAACCATTCCTCCGATGTAAATGCGTCTATCGGTAGGGTGATCAATTCTCTCTTTGTTTTACAGTCCACGCACGCACGAAAGTTGCTTACTCCGGTTTTTAGCGAGGCTGTGTATATTGTTATGGTAGTTTCGATTTTTAGTGTTTCTTTTTCGAATTTGGGCACTATAGTAGTGGCCGCCTTTATGAGAAAGCTTTCCATGCATACATTACATTGGATTTTCCTCGTGTTCATTTGATTGGTACCCCACAGGGGGGGCGTCCGTTTGGAAGTATTGTTCGCATTCCCAGCACTGTATTATATTTTTATTGAACTCATTGAGGTCCATTTTCACTTTTTTCACTTTGTCTTTCACTTGTTTACTGTCCTTGTCTAGACTAAGTAGATCCGTGTCCATATCATTAGATTTGTGTGAACTTTCACTGTTGTTTTTCGAGAGCATGTTTCCTATTACTCTTGATTCACTAGTTCTGTTGGGTGTTGCCTGTCTCACTTCTTCTGGTGAATCCCAGGGGGTGCTCCCCCCGGGGTCTTCACAGTTCATGATTTTTCACTTTCTATTCACTTCAAGTCTCGTTCCAATGTGGATTGTTTTAAGAACCGCACAAAATTTCAAGATACCACACGCAGTGCGTGGGTCGTGCGCGGATCGGCTCTCGGGAGCTTTCCGCTGCGCGCGTCTGTTCGCTACGGCGGTCCGCGCGAGTCTCCTCAATCACAATTATTGTGTACGCAATGCAAGTAATATTTGTGTGTTCTTGAATAAAGATCGCAACTGTTTCGAATTATTTCGTACGTAAAAGTTTTTTTTTAAGAATATTAACAATGCTATAAACATTACTAATATTCCCCTTAACCACTCGTGGTAAGCTAAATTTGCTTGTGTTACGAGTGGTTCACGCCAGTAGTCGAATGGCGGATTCGAACCCACGACCTTTTCCTAATTATTGACCTATTCTATTATTTCTTTTTTTTAATAAAAACTTCTTCTATCTTTATATGTATTTTATTTCAACTACAAACTAATCTAACCTTTACTTCATGATGTTCCGAAAATGGATCATTCAATATCATTTTGCTATAATACATAATGTTCTAGATTGGGACCATTTAGTTCAAGAATTTTTGGGGCTCTACTCGTATTATAAAGCATTTTACAACATACGCGGGTTTTTTTCAATCGATTTAAAACTCGCACGCTGTAAAGTGAATTTGAAGCACTACGAAAAGTGCGAGTAGTGCGTTGATTTCTATAAAAAAAATCCACGGGGTTTATAATGAAAAAAAAAATCATTACTGTTTTATTTAAACGACACCTTTAGGCTAAGAACTTTTACCTTCTCTCGTTCGTACACAGCGGACGTAAACTGTTGAAACTTATGAACTAATAAAATATAATAATAAGATAACGTATCGTGTAAAATAATACGAGGGCGGCACTGAAAATTTCAGAAATCAAGGAAGTGACACAACATTACTATTTAAAAATGTATTTATTGCTTTTCGAAGTATTCTCCGCGAAATTTGACACATTTTTCCATACGATGGAACCAATCATTGAAGCAACCATTCCATTCGGAAGTTGGGGTCTCCAAAATGGCCGTTTTGTAGTCGTCCACAGCTTCTTCAGGTGATGAAAATCTCTGTCCACGCAATTTATTCTTTATTCTAGGAAAAGTATAGAAATTATTAGGGCTTAGGTCGGGGCTGTACGGCGGATGGGCTAATAATTCTATGTTTTCTTGATCTAAAAACTCTTTTGTTCTGTGTGCGCTGTGAGAACTCGCATTGTCGTGATGGAGGATGATGCGGCGGTTGCAGTTCTCTTTACGGAGTTCAGAAACGACCTGTGGCAAACAAATGCTAGCATGACATTCTGCATTAACCGTTCTTTGTCCCTCAAGAGGAATAGTCGTAACATGGCCGGTTTTGGAGACAAACGTAGCCACCATTTTCTTTGCAACACTCCGTGAACGAACAATTTTTGTTGGCTTTAACTCATTTTCGAACATAATGATTTCTTATATTTACGCGAACACTACACATTGAAATAATACTAGTTTTTACGGAATTTATCGCGTATATTTAACTTTTTAAATACCCGACGTTTCGAACGCTTTACAGCACTCATGGTCACGGGCGGGACTGAGATGTTCAACGTCCGTATGTCATAGTTAACCGTGGTTACCATAGATTAAAATTTAACTTTTGTTCCGATCTATACAGTATGAACTTATGGTATCTTGAAGTCTTGCAGTTGTATGCTTGGGTTGGGATTTAATTTTATTTATTATCGGATCCCAAGCAGATGGTAGCACCCAGCCATCTTCTCTATTGAAATTAGGATGTTTTTTGATTTCAATAGCCTCGCGAATCCTCCTTGAAAGGAATCGGTGTTCTTTAGCGAGGATTTGCGGTCTATCAAATCTGATGTAGTGACGGGGGCGATCCTGTACATGTTCACAGACTGCAGATTTCCCGGAGCGTCGATTCTTCACATCAGCTATATGTTCTTTAACGCGGGTTTTTATTGATCTTTTAGTTTGTCCTATGTAGGAGAGACCACATTCACAATCAAGCTTGTACACTCCTGCATCTTGCAGAGGGACATTACACTTGACTGATGGTAAAAACTGACCAATCTTCTTCAGCGGCTTGAAGTATGTTTTGATGGAAGCACGCTTCAAGATGTAGCCCAATCTTGTCAGTGACTCCTCTAACATATGGCAGTACAGCAGGTACACGCTCGACTGTGGCCGGCTTCACTCGTTCACTGTGACGTAGGCGCGGGACTCGAAGCTTGTTGTTGCTCTTTGTTTCAGAGAGCACGAGGGATCTGTGACAGTAAACACCTGGCTGCCGAGCTCCACCATGTCAAGCAAGTTTTGCATGACAACAAGCTTCGAATCCCGCGCCTACGTCACAGTGAACGAGTGAAGCCGGCCACAGTCGAGCGTGTACCTGCTGTACTGCCATATGTTAGAGGAGTCATTGACACGATTGGCTACATCTTGAAGCGTGCTTCCATCAAAACATACTTCAAGCCGCTGAAGAAGATTGGTCAGTTTTTACCATCAGTCAAGTGTAATGTCCCTCTGCAAGATGCAGGAGTGTAGATGCTTGATTGTGAATGTGGTCTCTCCTACATAGGACAAACTAAAAGATCAATAAAAACCCGCGTTAAAGAACATATAGCTGATGTGAAGAATCGACGCTCCGGGAAGTCTGCAGTCTGTGAACACGTACAGGATCGCCCCCGTCACTACATCAGATTTGATAGACCGCAAATCCTCGCTAAAGAACACCGATTCCTTCCAAGGATGATTCGCGAGGCTATTGAAATCAAAAAACATCCTAATTTCAATAGAGAAGATGGCTGGGTGCTACCATCTGCTTGGGATCCGATAATAAATAAAATTAAATCCCAACCCAAGCATACAATTGCAAGACTTCAAGATACCATAAGTTCATACTGTATGGATCGGAACAAAAGTTAAATTTTAATCTATGGTAACCGCGGTTAACTATAACATATGGACGTTGAACATCTCAGTCCTGCACGTGACCATGAGTGCTGTAAAGCGTTCGAAACGTCGGGTATTTAAAAAGTTAAATATACGCGATAAATTCCGTAAAAACTAGTTTCATTTTCGAACACCCAAACTCGTGACTGGTTTTTTGTTTCGGATTCGTACGCGTATATCCAGGATTCGTCACCTGATACGATGTTGTATACAGCATTTGAGGATCCTGCGTGGAATCTTTCGAGAGTTCTGACGCACCAAGTAACGCGAGGCGCTTTTTGCTCTTCACAGAGCGAATGCGGTATCCATCGGGAAAACAACTTTTTTACACCTAATTGTTCATGCAAGATTATTTCAATTTGACTCATGCCAATGTCTAAAGTTGCCTGAATTTCGCGGTATGTCACATGTCGATCTTCCTCAATCAGCTTACGCACAGCATCAACATTTTCTTGGGTGACTGCAGTTTTTGAACGACCTTGACGGGGATCATCACTGAGCTTGACACGTCCACGTTGAAATTCAGCAAACCAGCGATAAATTGTGGTTTTGGATGGGGCTTCATCACCAAATGCAGAAATCATCCGGTCAACACACTGTTTTTGTGTTAAACCACTTCTAAAGTCATAATAAATCATCGCTCTTGAATTTTCTCGAGTCAATTCCATTTTCTCAACGACTAAACAAGATTGACAAGACCGAGAATCTTTTTTTAAATAAATAAATGGTATTCGATATTTAAAACCAAGGAGTTTTCAATTAAAAAGATTTTAATATGACAGGAACAGTGGAAATATTCCATTCCCGATACTTTTAGTGCAGCCTATGTAATAATAATAATAATGTCCTCCAGACCGAATTTCGGCCACGGCGACCTGCCTCAACGGAGGCTAGTCATCGGTGCAGGACAGGATTATAGTGCCCAAGTGTATGCGCAAGCACAGGTGCACTCTCTATTCGCTCACTCTCATAATCCGATGGGACGGTAAACCGACACGACCGGAGAGAGATCAGGCGCAGGACCAACGGCTTTACGTGCTTTCCGAGGCACGGGGGTGAGACACCGCCAACTTCCTGACTCTGGGCAACTACTGAGAATTTCTTGACGGAAAAACTCAATAATTAATTTTTTGGGCCGACCCGGGATTCGAACCCAGGACCTCATGGTCAGCATTCGCACTACTACAACCACTAGACCAACGAGGCAGTCATCGTGTAAAATATTAACTATCAATATCATGAGGGATATTGAAGACTGTTTTATTTTGGATATGTAACCCAATTTTTTTTTATTGATTGAACATGATTGTGATAATGTACGCATGTGTGTGCAGTACGCGGGTGGCGTGGGCGGTGTCGGCGGCGTGGGCGGTGGCAGCGGGGGCGTGGGCGGCGTGGCGGGCGCCGGCGCCGGCCTCGTGAATGGCGCCTCCGTCGTGCAGCCCACGCCCGACTCTGCGCAGCACCACCAGCCATTCGAGCTGCAGGTACTGTCACACTCAACTCTGCCCTCGCATACATTTACTTACATTAGACATCAATTTGTGAACACTTGAGTATTACTGAATAAAATAAGTCTTATTTGCTCCTCAATTGCATTAATGAACTTAAATTAAATTTCGGTATGTCGGCCAGTTTCTGTGAACGGATACTAGCCATCTACTACTACTGCTACCTATCAGACAAGAGTGTGTGCGCAAGCATAGGTGTACTTTATTCCCTCACTCCTATAGTCTGAAGGGACGCTAATCCGACATGATCAGAAAAGTATAGGGTTACCCTACCCCTACGTCATGTGTCGGCTCACCGCAACACTAGCACTGACTTATGCTGTTTCAACTTGTTGCGTCGCCTTTTCGCCGGAGTGCGCCAAACGAAGAATTTTTTGAATGAATCGCCGTACTCGGATCCGGTTATGCTGGTCAGGCGGATTAGTCAATGCAGAGTAAAAACTCACGCACTCGCACTTATCCAGGGTTACCAAACCTTGTCTAAAAGAAGATAATCTGGTACTACAACCAAGGTGTGAGGTTTTTAGCATTTAAAAATTGTGGCGTGTTTCCCCTTTCTCAATTTTGCGTATGTCAAGTATTTACACCTTGAATAATTAAGGTATATATCATTTTGAAAATGCTTTAACCATTAAGTCAGAAGTTATTTAAAAAAATGTACTCATTAGAAAATGCAGAACAGGCCCTTATTTAAAAACTTGGTTTTTCGATTCCGCTTTTGAAAAGAACCAAGAACGAAGTTCTTCATGTCAGGAGGGCATTTATAAAATTAAACAATATATTAATTTGTATTGGCCTGTCGTGCATATTTAGAAGCTTTTAGCAATTTATTCACTGTGAAACTAATGTTTTTAAACACTGTTCGAAAGTTCAAACAATGATTATGTTTCAAACCGCGTATTCATAAGTAATTATTGTTTTATCTAAAATTTTATAAGTCTATATGTCTAGGAATATCACTTAGATGTTTCAGAAAACAATGTTTTGAGAATGTTGCCCGAAGAACTAGGCTGTTTTAGGTGCCACATATGTTATATTTTTATAGCGATCTCGAGACGAAAGACTGGAAATAGATGGATTCGGAATTATCCTTAAACGAAACGAAACTAAGCGATTTCAGCATGTTTGAGGGATTAGTTACAAATTATGTCATTTTGTTTATTGACTACAACGCAATGGTCGGAACTGCAGCATTGATCTGCAATACAACTATTATTTTCTTTTCTCTGTCATGATGCATATATAATATGCATTGTTACCACGCTGGCGGGCGCGTTGGCAACCGCAGTTATTTTTATATTTTGATCTGTCATCGGAAAAATACTGCTGCTTATTTCCTGTTTGAGTTTTCTTCTGTGTACTCTTGCGACAGCCATCGTATTATATGGAATAGTGGGTTCTCTTACGTTGTCACTACGCAACAATGGCGATACTGAACGGTAAAGTTATATTCGCCGTGTGTTCTGAAATAAAATATACAAAGTGTACTCGGTCACAATCGTGAACAAATGACATCACAGTAAACTGCAGAAGACAACTAAACTAATTTAACATTTAGTATTGTTAGCTATAGTTACACAATTAACAGGTTGTACCCTCGAAAGTGATTCGATTCCACGATTTACAAACAAATGAATATAAAATGAAGCCGTACAATGAAATGGTAATTTTGTCATTGTTTTTGTTAGCGCATTGTCCGCCTGCACCTGGTGGGTTTCGTAGCGTATATACCAAACACCAATGTGGTAACTTCTTGTTTCACTATTGAATTTGATTTCGACTAATATTTTTAAAACACGGAAAAAATTGATGTCATATATACCAATCTGAATGAAATCCAAAATTAATCTGAAAATGAATATGTTATATTCTTGTTTGCAAGAACACTAAGACAGAGATAACCAACTGAAATACGTCGTAAGACCGAAATAGTTTGCGAAAAGTTTTTGATAATAATGATATGTATATACATATACTCTATATAATATATACTCGGTATAACATTTAAGATGGATTTTTTTTATCGGGATCGAATTTGTTTTTGTCCCATCATCAAAGGTATCCCCTACTGTTGTCTGTTTTCGTTTTGGGGAGCGTTTCAAAAACACTCGATATGAGAAGAATATGCTTGGGTTTTGTCTACCCTTGGAAATTCATTATACTCATTCGCGTTGCTTTGGATAAGCCAAAAAATTGGTAAAAAGACTAAGCAACCGTAAGGTCATCATATTTTCAATGAAATCGAATGGCGAGTAAGAAAAAGTGAAATGCTTAAATTAAATTGAATTTATGAATGTTCCATCATCCTTACGTTACGTAATAAAACTTCATAATGCGGCTAGCGTTAAATTTTGTATTACCCGTGCACCACAAGCTTGATTCCTAAAGTCAGTTAGCACTTAATTATCTAATTATAAATTTCAAATTTAAGTACTGATTTATCAAATGAAGCGGCTTCGTAGACTATAAATTTTATAATTTCATTGGAGTTTAGTTTCAATAAATTTAAGACTTAATTGCCTAGTTACATATGCTGTGGAATCAAATATTCAGTGGCACTATATGAGAGGCTTTTTTAGACATATTTTTTTAAAGTAAAGCTCTCATCATCTTAGCAGTAAAATTGAATATTCATTCATTTAAAGCCCTTTACAAGTCCACTGCTGAACATGCGCCTCCAAACAACCAACGCCACAAGGCACGGTCCTGAGCCATTGAACCTGAACCTTCATCCACTGACCTAAGAAAAGCTTCTTACCAGGTCGTCACTCCATCTGTCGGTTAATCTGGTTCTGCTGCGGATATTCTCTACGTGATAAACTTACAAATAAGTTTATCACGCAGAGAAACTCAGATCGTAGCTCTCCGTAGCTCGTTGAGCGGCCTTCCCTCTTATGGCCAAAATTGAAGGAACACGTCTCGGGATCCATAAGTTATCACTGGCAAAACGCATAACATAAACACTCACGCCTGTCACCCAGAGGGGTAGGCAGAGAATACAGACTTCCATTTGGCACGATCCTGACACACCTCTCTCGCCTCCTTCACCTCCATATACCGACGCATACATGGTCGTCGGTTAAGGGTACTCCTAATTTGGCCCGTTTTCAATAAATCGCTAATTTGGTCGATAAATTTTCGCCTAGGGCGTCCCTTTCCGACTCTGCCATTCACTTCTGCAACATAAATTTTCTCTGTCACTCTTTCCTCATTCATTCTTTCCGCATGACCAAATCACCGAAGCATTCCTTTCTTAATCCTGGTCACAACATCATCTTGCAAACCACAAGAGGATCAAAACGCACTGGTTGTACAATTTTGTATTCAAGTTTTGAGGTTTAGAATGTGTGTCGTAATCTCTTCCGAATGCTGCCCAGTCGATTTGAATCCTTCAATTGACTTCCCGGTAGAAGTTAGACTTACCTAGTCGGACTATTTTCCCAGATAAACATACTCTTCAATAGCTTCGAGCTTAGTGATCTTAACAACTACCGGCATTGTTACATGGAAAATTAAATATTATTTTGTACGAATTTTATGCATCAATTTATTAACCTTACTGCTAACTCTTTTTTATAGAAAATAGTTGTTTTGTACGTGACAATTACATTTATCGGTACGGATTGAGTTGTTAATACACTTTATTGTGTAAATTACGTGCCTACGGTTATGACGAACTCAATGAAATATAAATATTTAATAAACATGAATAAAATGTATTTTTATTTATTAGATTTTTAGTTTCTTAAAAAATTTTTATTAATTAAAAGAAATACAAAAAACTTTAAAGTATATTTCATTTTGTGGAAATGGAGTGCTTCAGTTATCAGTAAAAATGTTTTATTCTTCCATTTCCGTGATGTGGTTCTTATGTCCCTAGAAGACAATAGTTGTCTGCAGATTTTATAAGAAAACAACGGTGCAATTATTCACATAATATAGTTGTTACCTTTGTGAACGAACTCCAACAAAACAGTAATTCTGCAACGTTACAACAAACAAAACATTCATTTAAGCACTAGTGCTACCTAGAGTTACCTTTCGTTATGAAGTTAATTTTTTTTTAATTCGTTATATATTTAAATAGCGGTGTTTGAAACTAAAATTATTAAGTCACATTCTCGATTGTTTATCGTGAAAATTATTAAGTAACATTCTCGATTGTTTATAGTGTACGTTGTACAAAAACAACTGCCTGTCTTTCTGAAATTAAAATTACGGTTACTGTCAGACACAAAGCATTTATTTTCGTCTCTCTTTTGCATAGGCACATTATTTTTCCTTCATTTAGAGAAATACTTGACGTTAACATTGTAGTATAGCGTTGCGTAGCTATGTCACGCGTGCTCCACTAACGAGTGACTATCTCCGGCGCTACTCTCGTGGCGCGTCGACTAGGAAGCAATAAACTCACACCCTAACTGCACACACCATTACCGATTGTAACGGTATGGCTATGTGATATAATAATCGAAGCGAAAACCGCGACGCCATTCGCTGCCGAGCGCTACGCTTATAACTTCTTATCGTAATGATGTTAACACATTTTGATTTTAGATCTTTTGCTTTTTTACACTATGAAAAAAAAATATTTTGTCATGTTTCAACATTATAATTGGACGGTGTTTAGCAAGTAATGTGATCAAACATACGTATTTTGTAACAATCTGTTAATGTATCTACCTATTATTATACTCTATATATACTTGCAATCCGCCCCCGCTTCGCACGGGTAATTTCTGGATCTTGATAACAGCGCCATCTACCGGGTCCAATTGAGTTTTTAAACTATCCAGGGCCAAATTTTTTCCCACGCAGTCCTTTCTTCATTTTTGGAAAGAAATAATAGTCGCTTGGTCTGGGTTGTAAGGTGGATGCCGCAGTTGTTCAAAACCGCTCCGGTGAATGGCGGCCGTCTCAACATGTTGTGTGCATGAGAGGGCGCAATGTCGTGCAAAAGGAGCCTTTTGTAAGCTTGCCTCGCCTTTTTTCGTTAATAGCTTCTTTTAATTGATCTAGTAAAGAAGCGTAGTATTCTTTCGATA